GCTTATCAAGTTTTTTTTTTTTTTTTTTCGATTGGCATGAAAAGAAGGAGAAGAAAAAGAAGAAAAGGAAACTGGGACTTGGAAAATTTGTTGTGTAAGGGTATAGTGGAAGAAAATTGTGGGGTAATCTGGAGGAGGGTAGGCCTAATTAAATTTGTGGGACAAGGTGTAAGCAAGAACAAATTTGAAACTCATATCCTTTTCACCAAATATCTTATGAAGATGATAGGGAGGTGGGGAAACTTTAAAAAGACAATATGATTGAAAGTCTACAAAATGATTTTGGCAATATGGGGTGAGACCTGATCTGATCCCCCCCTCCACTTCCTTATTTTCATAATTACACTCTGCTTTATTTAGTCCTCTTAAGTACAAATAATGCAGATGACCTCTTTTGCTTTGGCCATTTGACTATATAAATATACATATATATACATGTGTGTGTGTGTATGTATGTGTATATGTATGTGTGTATTTATGTGTATGTATGTGTGTGTGTAAGTATCTGAATTCTGATCTCATCTATTTGCAGTTTGTTCTCTACATCCATAACAACATCATTACATGTGCCTTTTTGTCATCTCAGCTTTGGAGAAAGCTGAAAGACATTCCACATCCACAATTCAAAGAAAAAAGGAGATTGGTGGGGTTAGATCCAATCCTCTTAATGGGGTTTATATCTATGTATATATATGTATATCTCAATGGGGTTTATATATATATTTCCATTAATCCAAAAGCTATCTTTGAAGTAAAATAAGAAATTGTAAATTAACTATGGCAATTTTTATAATAAATTTAAAAACAATATATTTCAAAAATTTCATCAATTTTAGAAGAATTTAGAATATAATATTTTAATGAATTCCATACATACTTAAAAGATTTACAAATAAATTTCATATTATTTCTGAATTTATTCCAAGCATATAACTTAAAAAGATAGTGTAAATTATATTAAAATGCGAAATTGAAATAGTATATCAAATTATTTGAATTTTAATAAAAATCCAAAATGTGTTATTTTAATTTTTATTATAATTTGATACATATAATGATCCTCTTTTTTATTATTTTGTGGAGGATATTTATCTTTTAAATTTACGTGAGACTTTATAAAATAATTTTATAAAAATGCTAATTTTATTTTAAGCATAGCCTTAACAAAGTAAAATATTTATTTTTTTTAAATATTTTTACTGGTAAAAATATTTTTTAAGTCACCGTTTATTATTTTAATTAAATATTTTTCTAAACAATTTTAAGAATATATTGTTTTACATTAGTTTAATGCATTCAATGTTTTATTTTAAAATATTATTTGTAAAAATAAATAAAAATAATTAAGGTAATACTTGTTAATTTTATTATTTTATATTGTGTCAAAATTTAAAAAAAAATAATAATCAAGGTTTCAAAGCATAATTATCCCATATTTTTTCAGAATTAAATTTTTTTAAAAAAAAACTTTCAGTTAAGTAATATTTTGGGCTTTGAATTTTGAAACAAAAATAAATTAATTTTTTATGACTTGAAAGTTTTAAAATATTTATTTTAACCAGTTTAATATATTTCTGAAAGAAAAGAAATTTTTTCTTCATAATTACCACATTTATCATGAAGTAAATGTAATGATGCTGGGCATAAAAGCCAGTCCATGTCCAAACCCGAATGTGGGCTTCTGAGATCAGTCAAATTTCATCATTGCATGCTCACAGGTGTGGGTTAGTTGGGCATTTCTCGCACGTGTGCACGCTCTACTGTTCTTGGCGTTGGAGTCTGTTAATTTGGCCAATATGAATGCTGTTATTTTTAATTATCAAATAATGTTTCACTGGTTTGGAACTTTTTTTTTTTTTTTACACCGGTAAAAAATTATTAATTTAAGTTAAAAAATATTTATATATATATATATTAGTTCAACAATAAAATTTCCCCCAAGTTATATTTCAATAATTTTACCAGAGATCGATAAGAAATTCATTCGTTAAATCTTATAAAGTACAAAACCAACAAATGTGGGATCATGATAAATAATAAATCAATCGAAAAATTTCGAATTGAGTTGATTAATTGAAAAAGAATTTGTTACAACGATATCGAAATTGGGGTTTTGTACTCAATTGACATGAAAGTTTTGACAAAAACGGGGATCTCAAATTGTGAATTTTGTCAAATTTTGTCTGCGCAACAAAACAGCCACAGTTCTTCGGCTGTCTAGCGTGTTGCCATACAGCTTACCCACATCAAATAAACCCTAGTATTTATCTTTATGTACGTAATATATTGGTAGTTGTAGATTTGAATCAGATTAT